GTTTAGTTGAAGTTAGGGAGAATTGGGCTTGTGGGCACTGCATTCCTTCAAGTCCAAGGATTGATTTTGTCATTATTCCTTATTGGACAGTGCTACTACCAAGCCGCAGCCCTTGGGCTGCAGTAGGTTGAGCCAAAGTGCTCATTATAGATTAGCCCCATCATCCTCTTAAACTCAGATCTGTCATCTGAGACAGCCAGTAGTTCACAACTGGGATTGAATCCTTCTACCAATAAACATCCCACACTGTGCCAATTGACTGTAAGACAAATAACTTCCAAACCGCCCATCTGACTCCTGCAGAGAGGGAGCCAAGAACTATGAAGGGAGTTTGGGACATCTTCACTTTATTAATCGGCGTTGTTAAATTCTATTTTTAAAGGAAAACCAATGCAACCCAGCCGGCAGCAGCCAGTCCTTTTATTGAATGCAAAATCAATATGGCGCCAAGTGGTTTGGGATGTCATTAATCAGAAAACTGGCATGTGGGCATTGAGAGGTAATAACAGTGCCATGAGCCCACCGTGCACCTGTGGAGCTGTGAGGCAGGACTCTGGCTAGTCCTAATTACTCCTTGGGACAGTGTTTACTTTTGGGCTGCTTTATAGGCCAAATCCCCAGCTGTTCCTAGCTGTTTCCATGTCACAGGTATTGCAGTCTGTGCTCAAATGGTAAAGTAATTTTGCCCAGTGTCTAAAGATCAGAAAAATTTACTCCTTGGTGCTCACAGCTTCAGTCGGCAGCTCTGAGAGCCCACCTCTGCTTCCCTGTGCTGGAACCTCTCTTGTTTCCCTCTGGGTTGTTCTTGGGTTCATTTCATTATTTCTAGTGAATCAAAAGTAAAAAGAATATGTGGACATATATAGGAATGTAAATAAAAGCCCAATGGCATAAATTGTACATCTTATAAATTGGGGGTTGGGGGAGCTCATTACAAGGGGGGAGAGCACATTGTATTTTTTATCTGCTGGTTGTTTTGCATGTTTTTTCCTTGTTTATTTAATATACTTACTTAAGTGTTTGTGAATAGGTTTGAATTCTTGGATAACGATCCTTAAGTCGCTATCAACTCTCAAGGTTCTCTGCTGTGTTGCACTGGTCGATCATACCACTTATTTTCAAAATTGACATTCTTTAACATATGTGGGAAATAATAATGGTCCTGTAACCATCACACTTTGCCTAATAGGCTATTATTGTGTTGGTCATCTAGTGCCGCCTGATCATCATCAACTATAAAAATAAACAACTAAAATAATTGTGAAATTTTGTTTTATCCAAAGTGGAGGAGAAGGAGAATAAATCCAATTTCTGAAATAATTAAATGCAAGGAGCACCTCCTGTGCCCATGTCAATGGAAAAGTCTACTTACAAAAAAATAAATAACAAACATAATTCAGGAAGGGGAAGTAGGAGAGTAGAATAAAAATACCATTTCCAGAAAGCTGTGTTGCCAGTGAAGTGATCTGTTTTGCTTCCCACCAGATATCATGAGGAGCAAAATGCTCCTGAAGTTTGCTTTGAAATTATGGTCATGGAGGATTCCAAAACAGCCCACATTTCCCAAAATGCAGTTTCCATGGGTAAACCAGTTTTTTCCCCCTCATTGAAAATCATCTTAGAATAGTTTATTTATTAGGGGAGAATTGGGGTGAAGCTAAAAGCAGTTTGTTAAAGATTTAATGAGGCTTTACAATTGAGAAACATAATTGCTGCAGAAGCTCAGGTTTTCATAGATTAAAAATTAAAGACCAAGCAGCTTGTCATAAATTGCTTGTTCTGCAGTAAATTTTTATTGGAGCAGCTAATTTTATTTGGAATGCCCTCCTCTGGAGCCCTTTGTACCTTTGGATGCATGAATCTTTAAATACAAATATGATTGAATAATTTGCTGAATCAGGTAGAAGGGGCTGGAGCAGAAAACAAACTCTGGCAGCAGGTGGTATTTTAGCTTATGTCCCATCCCAGTCTGTTAACTGAGAGTGATTTCTCATGACAGAAACCTGAGCTAAAAATACATACACAACATGCTACATGAGTTGGGAAATCTGCATGCACATAATTTTTAAGGCCCCTTTCAAAAGGACACAAGCCAAGCCAAGCAGATTTTGTTGTATTTTTAGCAACCAGTCATCATGCATGGATGGTGCCATATTTCAGAGGCAACTGGGTGGGAAAGGATCAGGTCCTCTCCCTTCTTGATGCATCACAAGGCATACAATTACTGTATTGTATGGGGAAACATTTAGTAGGATTCAGACTAAGTTAGTTGCACTCAGTTCCCAATTAGATCAATGGGACCTAGGCTGTCATCATGACTAACTTTTCACACAGATTTCAATGGGATCTAAGTTGGATACACCATTAATTCAATGGGGTTTCATTTTTCATTGGGTTTTTAAGAAAACACATGTTTGTTGCATGCTCTGTTAACTGCAGCTGAGGATCTGAGAAGATTTTCTTTGTGTTTTAGCAATGGCAAATTTCAGTGTGTCTCCAGCCAATTCAAAAGTCTGCCAAGGTAGCTTCATTTTGTTTAACAGTATCTGTTTTTAATTATAGGTGTTCGATTGAAAGACACAATGAATCAGTGTACTGTGAAGAGATAGATCCATTTAAAGTGAGATCACAGCAACCTTCCATCTGCATCAAAGCCTTCATATATAGGGTGATATGTAACAGCCTGCCTGTCTGCAAACCTCTATGGAATAAAAGCAAATGGTTTCCATGAAGCCAATTGTGAAGTCAGAAAGGGGGAATTTGACTTCAGACTGCGAATTACAGCAGATGCAAATGACACTTTTTCCAGGTAAAAAAAGAGGGAGTTTATTTCAAACTAAACATCTTCAGAATATAATTTTAAAATGTTGATATAATGAATGAGAAACTAGGAAGTATCATTCTCGAATGAAGTATCCTTTTCATAAACAGTGGTAGGTTTCAGGGGCTGATCTACTAAACAAATTAGGTGCAGCAAATGTGTGCACAACTGCAGACACCTACAGTCAGTAGAACCACAGCTGTTATTCATACACAGTTTTTATTGCCAGAAAAGATGAACAAACAGGATGAGGTGGGAGATTTGAGTTCATCTTCGGCAAACAGCTCATCACAAAGTCTGTCTCTCACAGTGCTCAATTCAAATCCCCCTTTGCTTCAGTTGTTTGTAGAAGGAGCTACGTAACTGTATGTGTTGGATCTCAATATTTATAGTTAGAAACACACAAAAGTGAAGCTTTGAAAACATGTCTGCCATTTGCAATAGATTAACAAAGCCTAACCTACTTAATGAATAAAGCCATGAATCAGCTTTTGCTGTTATATATTATTGACTCACACACCCTCGTCTCTCATTGCATTACCTGAAAGTACAAGATGAGGATGCTTCATAAACAATGACATTGTAAAAATAAAATAAAATAAATCTTATGTGGTTAAACATGTATCTGCAACTCAACTTGGTTTTAGAGTTGAGTCTTGAAATTGATTCTGACTTCCTAATCTACTCAGAAAGCATATTTGGCTTTTCCAAATAAGGGCACAAGAAGAGCCTGCAGAATAAGGCCCATAGCCCTTATAGACTGGCATTCTGTTGGCACAGTGGCCAACTTGAGGTGGTTTGGGCACGCTAAGATATTACAAGCCCATGAATGGAGTTCAGAGCATGATGATTCTAGATGGTAGGGTTACTCATTTAATATTTTGATTCAGTAATGCTTCCCAGCTTATTCAGAAATGTAAAATATACTTTTATGTCACCCTCAAAATAGGTATTATCTGTAAAGCTAAATGATTGTTCTCCTTATAATTTGTCTAAACTAACTATGGTCACTTATCTGCCACGTACCACTTGTGAGTCACAGTGTTATTTTATCCATGCTTCAATGACTCCAAGAGGGAATAAAACACTAGGTTATGTTTCCACCCCCACCTCTTTCTCTGGTACATGAGCTCAATCTATAATGAAGAGCAAAGTTATTACCTTCTAATTTACTTTAACTTGGTGTCTGAGGCAGGTGTCCCTCACAGTCAAATCAATAAGACTTATCTAAATTTTAAGGCTTATTCAAACTTCATGGGGTAATGTATTATTATTAATTTTTTGCCTTTACACAGTTATTCATGTATTAATATATTGCTGATCATAGGCTTGTTCCTAGATCCCCACCAGAATTACCTGATTATAGGCATATCCACGACCAGGCTAACCTGTGACCCTCCATATGTTGATGGACTCCTATCAGCCCCAGCCATTGCAACAAATGGTCAGGGATTATTGGAGTTGTAGTTCAGCAACATATGGAGGGATTCAGGTTAGCAAGCCCTAGACAGTGGATCTCAGGTCTTCTCTTGGGTCAATCTGTAAGGAAGAACTAGAAAGTATTTCTGTGTGTCGCTGGATACATTAAAACTGCCTTATCTTTCCTTGTTGGCTTTTGAAAGGCTCAGTCCTTGATGTCCATTGTTCTCCAGTGCATAGAAAAACACACTGTGGAATTAGTGTGTGCAGTTGTGCAGCATAAAAGTGATAGTTTTTTTGGGTTTTTTAACATCAACCTACTACCACAATTAAGATGTTGCAGTATCTGAGAAAGATGGAAAAGAGGCAAACAAGAGGCTGGTAAACCTAAACATCTGGCAGTTACTTGCTCAATTTGTTTATATAAAACTACTAAAGATTTCCCTCTAAGATTTCCTTAACATATCTCGGTACTCAGGCATATCCTCTAATCATTTAGGAGATGTAGAGCACATGATTTCCATGCATACATTCCAGTCTTAATCCATCATGGCTTCTCAAGTGTCAGGATACCAGATAGCAGTGATAGAAGAGATCCCTACCCCAAATCCCAGCAAGCCACTCTCCTCCATCAAAAACTTGTTTGTTTTGTCTTTCTTCCTAATGTTCTTTTCAGCTGCAGTCTTCCACTGTTTCTTATTTTACCTTCTATGGCTGTCAGAAATCTTAGCATTATAAAGGGCAGTTTTTTGCAGTCTGAGGCATGCATTCCACTCTCCAGTCAAATTGCAGTTTCTAATGATTAGAAGATAAAGTGGTAGATTTGGGAAAATCTGTGTGAATCCATGAATTATTTCATATGAAGCTGAGTTTCGAGGAATACTGAATTCAGGGAGCAAAGACAAAACTGTGTGCATGACAAAATAAACTTTTATTACATCCGAGGAGATCTTTACTGAATCAATGTAGACTTTTATTAAATAATTAGGGGGACATATGTGCTAAACTAGAGTGATTAACCACTGTGTGAGAGGAATAATGGGATCATGTCCACTGGCTCTGTCTGCCACCAGCCATGCATTTGGGGAGCTTGTTCTAGGCACATAGGCTTGCCCCTGAGTGCACAGAGTTTCACATCACCAGGGGATTCTACAAGCACAAAAGCACACTCTCCTCTACAGATGTGGTTCCTAATTCATGGATAGTGAGGTGGAACATTTGAATAGGACTTACATATCTACTGCATTAGTAAACTAGCCAGATTGCATGTGGTGGACCCAATATTGACTGATGTGTTTAATAATGTTTTGTGCATGCTTTTCTTATCTTATTCTTATATGTTGTATACCATTTATCATCTATCTCTATCTATCTATCTATCTATCTATCTATCTATCTGTCTATCATCTATCTTTCATATCTATCTATCATCTATCTATCTATCATCTATCCATCTATCTATATCAGATTATAAATGGATAAATAAAATAAATAAATACATTCAAAAATAAATTGTAAGCTGCTTACCATAGTCACCTAACAGAGTTCATGTAACACCCACTTCGCACTGAAAGAACTCGTGAGGGGATGTGGTCACATGGGCTAGTCCACTCACTCACCAACCATGCATTTGGTCAGCAACTGAAAGGGCTGTACACACATGGAGTTATTTCACTAGAGAAGACTCCCTAACTCAATTAGTCCACGCACAGAGCAACTGCATACCTTAGGTTAGGGGTGGGGAACCCATTTCAGCCCAAGGGTTGAAATCTCAAATGTACAAAATTCTAGGGAGTGCATGCCAGAGCCTTAAGTGTGCCAGCCAACAGATGTGACTTACCTTTGCACTGTGGGGGTGCATTTAGTCAGAGGTCTTCTATGCACACCCACCCACAAATACATTTCTCCATCTTCCATTCAGGTGAGGCATTATCACAGTTGAAACACACATTCCAGTCAAGTTAAAGCCCATGGAATGAGACGTGTGGTCTCAGCAGAGATCCAATGATACAAGTAAGAGGGAAAATCCGGGTGAGTCCCAGGTCTCAGGTTTCCCACCCCTGCCTTAGATGAAGGCACTGATGGGGGGATGTGGTCACAGTGCTGATGACAGGGCTAGTCTGCATGACCCTATGACCTCTATAATGCATGTGTTTCATCTAAGCCCCTATTGGTTCAGGAAGTAACCACTACAAAGCTGCTACAGTGGGTCACTGTTGCTTATCAGAAGTGAGAATAGGAGGGATGATGCAGAGAGGAGGTCAGTGCAGTGCTGGATTAGTCCCACTGGTGTATTTAGAGTATACCTACCTCCCCACCACCTGATCTTTCCCAACTCATTCCTGATACGCAACAGTGACTCACCTTTCCTAAGAAGAGCCACAGCTGTTCAGAGCTCCCCTTCAAAAATTATTTCTGATGTTTTAATTTTTAAATAATACTCTTTAAAAATAGTTTTAAAATCTGTAAAAAAAACCCACACCAAATGAAATAAATATTATTCATCAGACATGAATCTAAACAGATTGAGTTACTTCTGCACATTAAGTTAGAGCTAGGATTTGGTACTGGAAGTATGCATATATTGAACAGCACCTGCATGCATGAGGGCATATAAATAAATGTTTTGTGAACCTGAAGTTATTTTACTGAAATGCTGTTTTTACAGTTTTGGTGTCATTTGTATCTTCAACTTCTTGAGAGAGAACAGAGTCACTGACACGGCAGGGAACTTGAATTTGCATTGTATATTCATTATCATGAAAGACCTTGGTGCCAGATTGACAGTTCTGAAAACTGAATGCCACTGTTTATCTCTTGAAGAGAGATCTACAGGCATTTAAAACTCGGGGTTCAAATGGAGCCTTTAACTTTGTTCTTGCTGATGCTGTGCTTATGCATATTATGCTCAGGAGGAAATGTACACTGTCTGTAGTCCTTATTTAGATTCTGCATATACCTCTCTTTTTCTGGTCTTTAACATCAGTTTTAAATCATGATTTTAAGGACTAAGTGACCTTTCGCGAGTCTCTACAACAATACCCTGGCTCCTCTTTTTAACTTTCCCCTCATCCCTACAATATAAGCCTACCTTCATGTTTGAGTTAACAGCTTATTACCTTTCTCATTCAAATGAACCATTGTACAGCTGGCCTGAGCTCAGAAGGGCTCTTGGATTTTTTGTTGGTTTTTATGACAGCTTATAATGGCAGCTCTGACAAGCTTCAGTGAAACTAGGAATGTATCGCGAAAGGAGGACATGCTGATGGAAAAGTTGCAACCAGCTCTCCAACAAAGTTGTTGCCTTTTTCTTCCCTTTCGTTAGTCTTCTCTTCCCAGCCTTGCAGAATGGAGGCTAGTCATTCATTCCTCCCCCACTTCTTGCACAATAGGAATCTACTTTCTGGAGTGAAAAGGTCCAGTATTTTTAATCAGCAGACCAAGCAGACAAAGTGATACCTTCTAATCCTCTAGTTCTCATTTAAATAATTGCACTTCTAATCAGTAGGTAATTCTATACAATCTTTAAAGTGTGCACTTTTCTTTCTTTTCATCAACAAGAAAGCCTTTTAAATGCTAAAATAAAACAAAAATGAGCCACACTATAGCAAGAAAGAGAGCGGAAATAATTTGGAGGTAGAGAAGGAGGTGGACACAATAAGCCTTTGCAAGCAAGTTACATGACAATATACTCAGTTGCCACTTTCCTACTGGCAATCTTTTATGTTGATGGCGACTCTAAACATTCATGGCTAAACAGCATTCAAGAGTCAGATCTGAAATGTGGGCTGTATGTGAGTGGTGTAGAAAGTTTGGGTTCAAATGAGGTCAAACTGTTCAGCCTCACTGCTCATACCTAATCCCATACCTTGCTGTTCACACGACAACTTGTCATCAAACCATCACTCCTTTGCGTTATCATCAGCATATTCTGTAATCAATGTACTCAAATATGCTCTGGGCTGCAAGATCAGCCTTAGAAGATAATGGGCTGTTTCCAGCAAAGTTGTCCGATTAATGAAAGGACACCCACCTGCATGATGGATCTTCCTTTTCCTCTCCTCTCTGTGCACCCCCCTGTGCCCCCATACATTTCTTCTGGGGGTTCCCCAACCCTCTGGAGCTGATTTGGGAGAGGAGAGGGAGAGGAAGTCCCATTGCACAAGCAGAAGGAAATCCTTGTGCTAACATGATGACATTGCTGGCTACAACCTCACAAGTTGGGCAGAGATACCAAAGCAGACAGCCTACACCTCTCAGATCCATGAATTACAATGGGATCATATTTGTTAGTTTCTTGGAAATGGTTCTCAAAGTGAGATGTTAAGTCTGACAGTCAGACTGAGCACCCCACACCCCAAAGTTATCAGGAGAATGGGAACCCAAGGAAATGCATCCATAAGGTTTATTCTGATGCATCAGGCACTAATTCTGTGGCCATCCAGTGAAAGGCTGTTTGTGAAACTGTCCAGGAAGGATGGAGGATCCTGTTTAAAAGCTCTGCAGGCTGGGGCAGCCTGAAGCTGCTTTGGTTCTTTCTTATTACGCCTGCAGCACAAAACAGACTGGAGAGAAGGCCCAGAGACAAGCTCTCAGTTCAAGACATTTTGCTGCTTGAAGTAAAGGACAGCATAGCATTCTCCTGCTCCATGTGCAGAAGCTGACAGTTGACTCTTCCAGATAGTTGACTCTTACTTCCGAGCTGGCAAAGAGACCGCATCTGCCACTGCAATCAAGAGCAGCAGGGCCAGAGTTAAGGGCCCAGGACAGGACACTTGGTGGGCAAAGGCTGTCTATTCCTTCAACATCTGTTGCCTGAAGTGGCTGCCTCTTGCCTGGAGGTCTGATTCAAAACATCAGTTACCTGGCACAATGAATTTGGAAATGGACTTCCCTCTGCTGCCCTGGAAGCATTTTCACCCTATTATGACACTGGTTTGCTCACAGTAAGCAAACTTGAATTGAGACTTAGGGGTGGGGGGACTCATCAACAATGATTTATTTTAATTTAAAAAAATCACATGATCAAGTGGCATAAACAATGCTTCAGATTTGTTTCTATCACTGGAATGTGGCTTCCTCTGTGCTACCACTTTTTATATGCTTTTCATATTGCCTCCAGGAGACATGGGGATGCAATGCCATCAGGATTACTTATAGCTTTATTTACTAACCCATGAAGAAGTACAATGTTTCTGCTCATTTGGGGTGGGGTGGGTGAGATACGAAAGGTTTAAGATTTCCATCTGGAATTCAAAGCAACTTTTTAGCATAAATGCACAGCTCATCAATGGAGGCAGGCTAAAGACTGCCTCCATTACAGGCAAAGGAAGTCGATAAACCAATATAAAAGATAGGAACATAGGAATTGGTCCATTCAGCTCAGTACTGCTTACACTGACTGGTGTGGCTATTCAGGGTTATAGACAAAGGACATTCTCAACACTACCTGGAGTTTCTGGAGATTAAAGCAGGGACCTTCTGCATGCTCCCCAAATATCATTGCACTCATGTTTTTAAACCTACAGTGGTCAACATGGGTATTTGGCTTGTGTTCAAAGACAATGGTTTGGCTGAACTAAGATGACAATTATGCAACAGTCCAAGAAAGCACAAGATTACGCAAAATACTACAGCGTACTAGAGAAGCACCACTAAAATCAAGACAACCTTAAGAATGACCTCAAGAAGCTTTAAGCAACCTTGAATGTTGAGGCTGTCCACTAATTTAATCCAAAGCATTATAAGGGATTAATCACAAACATGAAGTAGTTTGCAGCCAATATGCATCTTTGGGCTCATAGAAGGTCCTGGAGAATGGCTATATTAGGGCTATGCACAGTGCCCACCCCATTTTTCCACCTTCTTCTTCTTTGGTGATCACTCGTAGCTGAGTTTATGTCTTCCATAAACACAGTTTTAACAATGCATCCGTAAGTGACTGTGGAGGCCAATTCTGGATCCACACGTCCTTCCACAGTGGGGACATAGGTTTCTGGGCAGGAGTTGATCATGGTGAGGGTTTGCCAAGCATGCCTTCCTCTTAGCACATTTCTCCCTTTCATCCTGAGTTCGAGCATCTTTTAGGCAGTGGCTTCTGTGTTACAGAGTACAGGGGAAGAACTAGTAAATTGGGGGTGCTGTTTTGTTGGTAAACTTGCTTCTAGAACAACCACATGATAGGACTGGGATTTGGATTTCAAGCCACCACCCCCCATTTATGAATTCAGCTGTACTTCTCACAATGCCACCATGTTAGAGTTGTGTCTGCAGCTTATCTTAATTCATCCATTTTTTCTTCCCATTCACATTCATGTAATGCTTAAAAATTCCATTTGTATTCATGTAATTCCTGTTTGCTGCTTACTTCCTATTTATTTAATTCATATATTCTAGTCAATAATCTACAAATTGTATACATATGACTATATAATGCTGAATTCATAAACTATAAATGATGCAATTGAAATGCATTAATGGCAAACACCACCAGCAGTGCAATTCATGAATTGCAAATGCTTGAATTTGGACTCTGAAAGCAACTCAAAGAAATTATCTTGAGCATTTTAACGACTAAATTTGAAAATTATTAACCTAGAAATGTGAACGCATTAGAAAGGACTTTAATTCTATTCATCAGTTTCAAATAGATTTGGAGATTATCTATTCCAAGCTCTTTGTCTAAAATAGAATACTTCATTTGTGAGGCTTTATAATACTACTCATAATGTTTGATATCTATATTGCATAGTTTAAGTTATATATTATATCATATTACCATTGCTGGGACGCAGGTGGCACTGTGGTCTAAACCACTGAGCCTAGGGCTTGCTGATCAGAAGGTTGGCAGTTCGAATCCCCACGACGGGGTGAGCTCCCATTGCTCGGTCCCAGCTCCTGCCCACCTAGTAGTTTGAGGCACGTTAAAGTGCAAGTAGATAAATAGGTACTGCTCTAGCGGGAAGGTAAGTGGCGTTTCCGTGTGCTGCTCTGGTTTGCCAGAAGCAGCTTAGTAATGCTGGCCACATGACCCGGAAGCTGTCTGCAGA